GGGAGTGGGGAGTGGGGGGTGGGGGTGGTTCCTCTTCACTCGGGCATCAGATTTACCCTCCTAAACTTATCTGCCTGGGGGTGGGTGACTGGGTGTCCAAATTCAGGGTCCATGAATAGATATTTGTAAGATCTTCATCTTTGCTTAAAGGATTGGAGCTCACAAAGGTTAAGGTCACACTGCAGCTGAGTGGCCAAGGGGACAGCCAACCTTAATCACTGTAAAAGGCAAAAAGCAGTTAAAATTCAAGCTCATCTAGTTCGGTTCTCAAACTTTACCCCAAGACCTTGCTAAAAATAAACAGCTTGGGTGGGTTTTAGTAACTTGCATTTTAACAAAAACCTCTGGAGGTTCTGATGAAGTGGCAGAGGTGACTTTGGTGGTGGTTAAGCGCCGAAATCTGGATGAGTTTAATGTCCCGTACTACTATTTACTGGCTCTCTGTCCAGTTTTCTCATCTATAATATGGTGACAGTAATACCATGGGCTGTTGTAAGGAATTTCCAAGTTCAATGTAATATACTTAATACAATAAAATAATAATAAACAATAGTATAATTTAATATAGAACATGGATATAAAATTAATATATACTTCTATTTAGCCCTGGATGAGTAGCTTAGTTGGTTAGAGCGTTGTGCCCATACATCAAGGTTTCGGGTTTGATCCCCAGTCAGGGCACATACAAGAATCAACCATTGAGCCCTGGCCAGTGTGGCTCAGTTGGCTGGGTTCTGTCACATGCATCATGAGGTTGTTGGTTCGATTCCAGGCATGGGTTTTGGGCTAGATCCCCAGTGGGGTCGCGCAGGAGGCAGCTGATCACATCGATGTTTCTCTCTCCCTCTCCCTTACTCTCTCTCTAAAAAAAATAAAATAAAATTATTCTTATAAAAAAAAGGAATCAACCAAGGAATTGCATAAATAAAAAATAAGTGGAAGAACAAAAAGAATGGAAGGTGGGTATTCTTATTAAATATATTTAAATATATTATATTTTATACTATATATATAAATTATTTAATAATAAAGGGCTTAGTATAGCTCCTGCCATTGGTTAGTACTACCTAAGTGTTAACTACTTCTTTCACCCTATGTGATGGTGAGCTTGCTACCTGCCAAGGATGGTCATGCCATCTCTGACCAGCCCTGGGCTATGCCCATTGGTCAAAGTGGTCGAGCTGGTTGCAACAGCCCTTTCAGTTGGATCTTTACACCCTCATGCACAGAGTTGACTGAAAATTTCTATTTGGTCTCTTTGGGTATAAACCCCAAAAGGCTGAGAGCACATGTCCCTGGCCACTAGGGGGAGCCACAGGGGGTTCTTGGAGGAACTGTGGGGATGGGCATCCTGGGTTCCAATTATGATTTTTCGCTGGCTCTTTGGTGTCCTTTCATAAGTGCTTTCTCTCTGAGATCTCAGTTTCTCCATCTGTTAAACAGGCATTCATGGTCCCACCTGGCTCTAATAGGGTGGGGAAAAGCTACTAACCACACAGGTTTCTCAGGACTCTAAGACCCTAGGGTGGGAAACAGGTTGTTCAGACAACTGCACCTCAAGTCTGGATAGCAATTTTATTATTATTATTAATTTTCTCAGTGCGGATGATAGGATTCAAACCCCGGTGAATTAGGAGGGGGGATGGGCATGACATAGGAGCCTGAGAAAGGAAACCTGGCCCCCTCCTGCCACTCCTCCCAAGATCCTTTTGCTTTCCTTAATCAGCAAATCTCTCCTCCCAGCTTCCAGCCTCTTCCCCTTCTAGACCTGCTGGCCTCCCTCAAGCCCCATCAGCCTCCAAATGTTGTGTGCACCCAATTCTGGGCTGGAGGTTTCTTCGAACCAAGAACATTTTATTATTTTACTCATTAAACATTTGCTACGGGGAGTCTGCGGTGTGCCAGACCCTGTGAAAGGCCCTGGGGTGGTAGCAAAATTTGAATAGACATGAACTTTGCTCTCAGGACACTCATCTGTAGGGGAGCGGGGGCACGGCCAAACTGGTGAATATGTAAACTAGGTGATTTCAGATACTGTAGCCATCAGAGCTATAAAGGAAATAAAGCAGCAGGTGAGGTGACAGAACATGAAATGGGGAAGGTCTCTCTGGAGGTGACATTGGAACGGAAACACAGACGGTAAGTGGAGGGAGTAACAAGTACAAAGGCCACCAGAGAAACAAGTCCAGCGGGGTGAGATTTCACGGTCCACGTTCTCTACTCTAGTGTTCCTAAAAACAGAGAAAGGCCTCTGCGGGGGAAATCCCATAGACGTTTTTGGGAGGGAGGGGGTGCTTCAACTTTATCCCATGAAGTGGGTGAGTGGAGGGGCGCTCTCTAGTGGTGACAACGGTTACATTTCACACAGCTGACCTGGAATGCCACAGGCTTAGGATTTGACTCTGGGCTCATGATGAGCTAGTTAGCTTCACTCATTCCCGTCTGTCCTACACTTTTTTAAAAAAATGTTTTCATTCACTTTATTTTTATTTATTTATTTACTTACTTACTTATTCATTTATTTACTTATAATGTCTTTATAAATAATATAAACAAGAGTAACGGGGAGGGAGAGAGATAGAAACACCAGTGATGAGAGTCATTGATCGGCTGCCTCCTGCACGCCCCCCACCTGGGGTCCAGCCGGAACCTGCGCATGCGCCCTGAGCACGAATCGAACCTCGATCTCCTGGATCCGAGGTTGATGCTCATGCACGAAGCCACACCAGCCGGGCCTGCTTTACTTTTTCTACTCATTTATCACCTTCTAAACTATGATCATTTACTTCTTGGTATGTCGCCCCAGCTAGAATGAAAGCTCCAGGAGGGCAGGGCATCCTGTCCGCATGGTCCTCACCCCACCCCCACTGGAAGCCTAGAGGCGCGCTGGCGCCCGGTAGCCGCTCACTATGTGCAGAATGAATGAGCTCGAGGTCGCAGCCCGCTTTTCCCTGCAGACCCCTGAAGCAGCCACGTGCCAAGGGGGAAACGGGCCTCAGGAACCGCCAGGGGTGACCTCAGGGGACC